GTTTTCTATCGGTGTACATAACATGAATACAAGTTGAATTATATTAATTATTGTGCACAATTATTCTGAAAATTATGAAGGTTGTTCTGATTTGTTACATCTGTAAACAATTTCACAGATTTGTGATTTTTTATTTTACGAAAGCTTGATACATATACACACATGTCGGCCGTCGCCCCGACGAAAGACGCAAAGTGTCCCCGCGATCGTCGGACAAAAGAGGATTTCCTCGAATGTTTTTCGAGCAGTCGTTACACAACCAGAAACAATCATCTCGTAAGTAAAACCAACTCGTTGTTCCACGGAGAGAGATAGAAAGAGAGAGAGAGAGAAAGAACTCAAGTCTTAAGCTCCCTCAAGGTGGTCTCGTCTAAATATAGCCGAGTGGAAGCCCAGAATAACACTGCGCCGAGCCGGCAATGACCAAAGCTCACCTCGCCAGCATCTCGTTCGCGAACTAGGATAACTGTCTCGAGTGGCGGGTCAGGCTCGTTCGCTGGTCCCTAGCCATCATCCTATTGATGTTTAATATTAAGTAAAGGGGTATAATTGAGCATGAACCGAGGAAACGTTAGAACGAGAGTGCCGTGGTAATTACAGAAAAGAATAACAACGCTGCTTTTGTCATTGCGAGACTCGTATTGAAATCATACGATTGAAATTGAAATCACGAGATTATTATTACAATGAAGAGAAATCTGGATGGTAAAATCTGAAATTTTACGAAAAGCCGAAAATACTCAAAAAATCGTAATAAAGAAACGTATTGGTGTCAATGTCAAGATTCGTCACTTACAATTTAGTGTCCCAAACAGTTGCTCGCCTCTAATTCGGCTATACAACTTGGGATAATTTTTTCTGCGAGATAGCCAAAAGAAACAGGTCGATCACGTGTACAGGAGGAATACGCGGGCCATTGCTCCCGAGATGTTACCGTAACGAAACATTCCAGTGCACGTGTGCGTTGAAAAGTCCGCGTTAAATCACAATTCTAAAATTAGTGTCTCGCCCACGAACTAGGCTAACCGAATTGAGCGTATCGGATCAGTTTTGCCTATCAAAGATGCCATCGAGTCAGGAGAAAAAGCGAAAAGTCCAAGTATAGGTAAAGAAAAAGAGTTTATCGAAAACAGAAGACTCATGCTATACGGAATAAAAAATTAATCTTACGTGAAAAATCCATTTATTTCTAAAAGAGGCAAAGTCGAATCTCGAATACTATATATCGAAGTATTGTTACCTCTTTCTCCGTGATTTTTTCGCTTAGCTCATTTCGTCCTACGAGATAGCTGTCAGCACCAAAGGATTGAGTTTTTACAGTTGTCAAAGAAATTGTGTATCAAGTTAGGTTGTTTTTTAGAGAATTTTCTCTTAAAATTTATCCTGAAAAACATATAATCGTGGGACGACATAATATTTTGAAGACCTTTATGAGTTTTTTGAAATTTTACCATACATTTTACTAGTAAGATGTATGATATTTTTTATGCTCTACAACATATCCGAAGCACATCGAAATCGGTGAGGGACACTTCCGACCGTTCCCTTGTAAGTATTAATTACTAATAAAAGGTGTGGTAAAATTAAAAAAAACTCATCTAATTCTTCGAAGTGCCGTGTTGTCCCACGATTACATGATTTTTAGGATAAATTTTAAGAGAAAATACAGGCACGAGTTTCAGGTAATGATTTACTTCTTTCTTTATTATAAAATATAAAAATTAAATTCTCTAAACGTTAATCAGTGCATTATAACTGTGAATTAGTGTATATTCACTGGTTTCAGTGACAATCCACTGATTGACTTTTAGAGAGAATGTAACAAGAAAGAAATATCTGTGGTGATATTTGATAAAAATTGGCCGCCGCCGTAATATAATACCGGTCACGGTGACGTGAAATAAGTACTCGCTTTCGACGACACTTCTCTCTTTCATTCGATTTGCTCTTGACTCACATAACGTCGTTTGTGCGTCATTTAAAGTTAGGCCAAGGGCTACCAGAAACTGATTGTTAATGAAAAATCGACGACGCGAGCGAACGTGTTATATATTATGCATGTCACGATCGAGCCGTTGAAAAACGTTATTACATTCCCGGATTCCCGGGATAAAGAAGGACGAACTACCCGGTGTTCGTCCGGGAACGATAGAGGAGAGAGAGCAGCGCGGCTGGACGGTAGTCGCTAAAGAAGAACTGACCCCCACGACTGTCACGTTTAATTTATATGTTAATGAGGAGTGCATGTCACATTTCAACTGCCCCATGCACCTCTTCGGACACGTAAGCATGTACGAGGAGTGACTCGCCCCGCGTTCCATTTCTCCGTTCCTCCTCCTTTCTCAATTCCGTTTCTCTTCCTTCGCCGCCGTCGCCGCTGCCACCGCCTTTTTCTTCTTCATCTCCTCCTCTTCGTCTCCTTTCTTCTCTTCTTCCTCCTCCTGCCCTCCTTCGTCTTCGGGCTTATATTTAACCGCGCCACACACCATGGCATTCAACGCAGCCAACTTTGCCGCGTTACTCCTGGTGCATCTCCATCCCTTTCTCTCCCTTTCTCTTCCTTTCTCCTCATCATACCTCGCAGTTCGGCGTGCCCTCCTCCCATTCCATTCCTTTTCCTTTTACTTCCCCTTCGTGGCGGTCCATTTTTTCTTTCCTTTCCTTTTCTTCTCTCTTCATGGCCACGCTCGTTTACGTTGCGTCGACGTAGAACGAGACGACCCATTGTGGTATTACGCACGCTTTCTTGTACGTACAACACGTGTGCGTTCATTCGCTTTCAAAGGAAAGGGTGGACTTACATCGTGCACAACTTTCCCCCCCCATGTTGCGGTTGAGCCTTATAGAAATCTCGGGGATCGATGAGCGACACAGCGATCAATCTGATTATGCGTCTTGAAAGTAATTATTTCGTTTCGTGATCTCCCGTTTTCTCTCGGGAGCGTACTTCAATCCTTTCGTGGCCGCGTACAGGGCGATTCAAAATAACCCCAGTGTCTTTCCAATGTGTATTTTTGATTGAATTCTATCAACAATTTTTCCTTTACCAAATTTTCTCTAACGCTTAGTTTTTCAATTATAAAATAAATAGCGAGCGAGCGAGCGAGCGAGCGAGAGAGAGAGAGAGAGAGAGAGATGTATATACAATGTATATGCATACAATATGTATGTTAGACTGACCAGTCAAAAAAAATTTTCAACAAGATGCCAGAAAATGATTCTGTGTTTAAGTATAAGCAACTTTTAAGAACATGCTTGGGGTTTAAAATGACGTTTAACCGTTCCTAAAATTGTTTGAAGTCTTTGTCAGGCCAAAATCACGAGACTTCACATACGTACTAATAACTCGATCATCTTTTCACATTGAAAACGTGTTCCTGCAGCAACATGGTGTTCTTGACTTCGGAAGAGGATGAAAAGAGCTACATTTTTATCAAAGTTCCAACAAGATGCAGTCAATAGTTTTCGAGTTGTAGTCGATTCCATGTCAATTTTTGACGATTTTTTCATAATTGCTTACCTTGAAGCATTCATATAACTTTTGAAAAGCATCATCACTAAATAATAATGCTCTACACATACAGAGACGATAAAAATTGTTCCATTCATTATTCATCATTTTGCTGTAGAAACACGTTTTCAATGCGAAAATATGAGTTATTAGTACGTATGTGAGGTCTTGTGATTTTGGCCTGACAAAAAACTTCAATACGACTTTAGGAACGGTTAAACGTCATTTTAGACTCCAAGTACGTTCTTTAAAGTTGCTTACAATTAAACAAAGAATCATCTTCCGACCAGTCTCGTGCAAAAATCGAACAAAAAAGTTCGGCTGGGCAGTATAATATACATATATACCTATCGCCTGTGTATTATGCACAGGATCACGGTGTTGTTTTTCCCGCATTTAAGCGCATGCTAGCGACTAATAATAATATCTAAAATCGCATCTCGTCCATATCATAATTTTTTGTTTCTTTTTTTCACGCGGTACTCTTATTGCTACGAAGAAAAATATTTGGAATTTAAATACTATGCATGAAATGTATTTTTCTAATTAACATTAGCAACTTTGACTTGCAAAATAACAATTTAAGGCATACAATTTCTACCCCGATTATAATAATGCGCAAAAAATTCATGTATTCGAATTTTTTAATTTTGGTTTATTGTGAATAATAATGAAACGGTGCATATATAATAAGTGTATACACGTATATGCATGTATGTATATCGGCGGTGAGATATTTATATGATATAAAAATAAGTCGTACATATATTTATTGGCTTATTTATGGTTTATGTATAGGTGTACAAAGATCATTTACAATAACAGAGCAAGATGACAAATGATCACGTCATTTTAATATAATTATCTTTGTAAATCTATACATAAACCATAAATAAACCAATAAATATGTATAATTTGTTTTTATATCATATAAATGTAAATATCTTGTCGCTGATATACATACATACCTACATATGTATACATACGGTGAATCGTAAAGGCTATCCCAACCTTCTACCATGAGAGATGAATTACTAACCGCAACTGGAAAAAAATGGAAAAAATCTCGTTATATGCGTCTCAATCATGTAATATCTCTTATATTTCTCGAGATACAATTAGATATTACATGATTGAGACACATATTACGAGATGTTTTCCATTTTTTCCAGGTTTGGCTACAGTTGCGGCCAGTAATTCATTTCCTGTGGTAAAAGGTTGGTACATCCGTTAATATTCACCCTACAATACAGGGTGTATTAAAACCACTGAATATCCTTTTAATCACGGATTCTTTAGAAAATTTCAAGACGAAAACTCCAATACAAAAATGTCGAGGCTATAATTGTTTTTAAATAATAAGCGATTATATTTCGCAAATGATAGACCTGAGATTTGCGTGCGCTCAGGCACGGCGACATGACAAGTGATAAAGGTATTCCTATGAATGTCGCCCATATTAACGTCACGACTATTGTTTTAATTACAGAAATGTTCTGACTACAAAGCTTCGAAGGTGAAGACATTTGTCCGTACGGAACCGCCCGACACTCAGGTTACGAAATCTGTAATTGCACTACTTCTTCATTATGGCTGGTTTAAATTCACAATTGTCACCGAGCGCGCCTGGTCGACGGTCGCCCGTTCGCTTCAGGAACAGGCGGCTAAGAACAATCTCACCGTGAACCATTACAAAACCGTCGAGGACCGGCATACGTGCTGTGAGGACAGGCTACCGTGTTGTCAAGTCAGCGTATGGTTCCAACTTATACAGGAGACGAAAAATATGACTCGCAGTAAGTCCACATTTCTTTACTTTTGCGTCAAGTTTGCAAAGGCTAATCGCCGAATCACTGGAGGTGTAACATTTTCTTGTTATTTTTTTACATCTTTTGCGTTTCGTTTTTTCGGATTTTGCGGATTATTTTGATAATGTTTTTGATAATTCCGTGGTCAGAGGTGGGCAGGGCTTCAATAAGACGATTTAATGCTTTGATAGAACAATTTACGACATATATTAAGGCTAAATTTATCTTAAAAAATGTAACATAAAACATAACATATTAAAATAGCATGGAACAAATTAATGAAATTACATATCATTTTCAGGCTATAAAAGCAGTAACATGTCTAAAAAATAGTAAACAAAAATAAGTCTTAAACATAAATCTCTTTGGTTTAGCCCTAAAATTGAACAAAAAGAACTGAATGGTAACATTTCACAATCTCTAGCAAAATTATTGATATCAAAGTAACGAAAAAGGTATTAATCCTTCAAATACAATATTTACTTGCGGCTGCAGAGTTGATTTTGAACAATTTTCAGCCCTTTTCTTTGATACAAGTGACACAACATTGACGTTAGAAACGTTTACTAAGGAAAATTGCGATTTTTGACGTTATTTAGACGCCATTTTGCGAACTGAGGGTTATTTTGCGTTTTAAAAACGTGTTGAAGCGAAATTGGGGATTCCAAAATGTAAAAAAATGCCATTAAAAA